CAAAGACACCAAATTCCAGGAACGGATCAGTGAGGCAACCAGAACGTTAATGACAGCACGTCACGGGTCCCCGGCTCGCTTAATTGTGCCAACATTGCCTAGAAGTTGAAACAACTTTATAGAGCTCAAGGTTCAGCTCGCAAATTAAACTTGCACTCGTTAAAATATTTTAGAGTCGGCTGCATATGAAACCGGAATAATTAAAGGCCACCGTCGTGTCAGATCAGTGTGTTTGGGCGGGACTGCTCTGGATCAATGGGAACGTCACGTGACCTCCGCGTGTCACGACAGAAGGACAATGGCCTCCAGCGGGAATTATTGACTAGAATCTCTCTTTCTCGCCAGAACGACATTCAGTTAAACATGGCGCAGGGAACATCATTTGGTGCATTCAAATACCAACCCGCTTGTCAGTCATTGTAAAGCTTTGCCATGTAACCCATTCAACAAATATTATTTGCATATTTACCGTGCTAAACCACGCAATAATTTATCAAATAATATCAACACTTTTTCTTCAGTCTTCCCCAGTGCTACCTAACATTCACATATTTACACTAAACTTCCATATCTATCTCAAAGCTACACATTTGAATATCACTTGAAATATAGAAAAATTGAAAAACAATACAAAATAATATAGGGCTTTCATTTGCTAATATTATTAGCGTATAAATTGTATAATAACAAGAGACACATAGAGGATTATAATTAATAGGATATTTTTTAGTATTTGTTTCAAATGGCGCGGCCAGCCCAAACTTGAGAAGTTGTATATATTATAAATCAATATAATCCTAGATTCTATTATTTATAAAAGCCTTTAGAAAGAAGAAAACATGATATATTTATAATTTAAACATGATATATTTTAGTGTGAGAGATCTTGTTTAATATTGACTACCTTCTACTTTAAATACTACGCACAGCTTAATTAGTTTGGACAACAACAACTCTAATTAATGAATTTTGGAAAATATCGTTTTCTGAATATATTCTCCGCACAGTCTGCCCGGCCCATAGTAGGAATTTCAGAAATGTGGAGGCAACGCCCTAATCACACAAGAGCTAGCTATCCTGGTGGTTTTACCGTCCTTTAACCTTTAAGAACATTATCAAATCTTCTCAGATCTGATCATGTATCATGGTGAGATTTCTAAAGAAATTTATTTAACGAATATTAATGATAGTGGACATTGCGACTGCTGTGATAGAGATGCATGGAGACATCTGAGGCTCTTCTTTGGACACAACAACAACAACAATAAACTCCAGATAGTGGACATTGCGACTTCTGTGTAGAGTATGGGGACATCTTTGGCTCTTCATTCGACACGACAACAACAACATCAATAAACTCCAGATAGTGGACATTGCGACTGCTGTGATAGAGATGCACGGGGACATCTGAGGCTCTTCATTGGACATGTCAACAACAACAATAAACTACAGATAGTGGACATTGCGACTGCTCTGATAGAGATGCACGGGGACATCTTTGGCTCTTCATTGGACGCGACAACAACAACAACGAATATTAATAATTACCTCAGTTGAATATAAGAGAAATCATAAGAGCGTCAGAAATGTTTTATTATGATAATGTTGAAACACAAGCTTTCATTCTCTGTTATTCTTCAGGTGTAGAAGAACTCTAATTAAATACATTACACGAAAGACGATATATGCTCATAGACAAAGAAGTGGAAAGTCTTTGATGTCGCCCGTCATCTGATTTTTAAGAATACAGAGGAAATTTTGTTCACACTTGGTTATCTCGTGTCTTCAATAACGGTCACTGTGTATTGAATATCTTTCAGAGTTATTGTCTGAGAATCCCGATATACATACTTAAAGGTACAACTTTCTTAAGTTTTGTTGATGAGTGTAAATAGAGGAAATATCATTTGCATAAATTTAAACGAAATATAACAAGCATATTTATAAAAAGAGGTTTCAAAACTTAGAAATACTCGCCAAATAGCCTATATACAAATATATAGGAATACATTCTACACAAAAATGTATATATACGTTTGGAAACAATAGTGTTTAATGTCTATTGTTTATAATTTCAACATTTATTTGATGACCTTGGATTATATAAAATGGTTAAGAAAGCACAACGGAGAAGCTTAGGAAGAAGTCAATATGAATACCATGATGTGTGAAATATTAAGTTCATGGGAACATTGAGGTCGTTATATTGTGTTTGGTCATATTGATAACATTCATTTAAATAAATTAGTAAAACTTTAATGGAGTTTTAAATTTCGTTATTTAAAAAGTAAATATCTGTAGATCTCTTATCCGTGATAAAAAAAATTAAGTAAACTTAGTGACATTTTCAAAAAGAATAAATTGTGAATTTTATTTGAATCATATTAATATCGTATTTTATTCTATTAATTTTAGATTGAATTACTTTCAGAATCTTTAAAGGAATAAACCTGATTGTCGCCATATTACGAATTGGACCTCCACTTGTATTGGAAATAAAGTCAAAATAAAAGACTTAGGACAGAAGGATAGCCTGGGTAGTTGGCGACTCCTCTAAGCTCCGGGAACCTGGGTTAACCAAATATCTTCTCTTGACAATTCGCCTGTAACATATATAATAACGTTAAAAGTAAAATATTTAAAAGAGTAATATGTGTCTATTATAATCATGATTTTCATAAAGTTGAGTTTATCCGAATATGCCATGGAATACCGCGGAACATATAAGGGAATACCATGGGAATAAGTGTTTGAGAGAAGACATCGATCCAGAAAGGTTTCCAGAGTTCTCCTTCAAGAACCGGAACTTGGAATTTGCATTATTGACCCAATAGGATGCAATCGGAACTTCCGTTAGCCTCTCATCTCGAGAAAAAAAAACCATGGTAATTGTTATTACAACATTTGTGGAACTGAGCGTTTCACAACCCTGCATTTTTTAGATTACTATCTCGTTACCATTGTAGGTGTCAAGTCGTGCACGAGGTCAAAGAAAGGACTGAAGACACCGCTAAAACTCAACTAATTTATTGGAGTTTTATATCGCATCCATATTTACGTAGATGTATCAAAAGTTATTCGAAATATTAATTTGCCTATTTCGTTGCCGCGTTATACAATCTTTTAGTATATTCGTATCGTTAGAATTTTATATTTTGATTTAATAAATAAGGAATCAAGGGTTTTGTTTCTTTTCTTTTTTTCTTATATTATATATTCCTTATATATTAAATCAAAGTGTAAAACGAGGGAATAATCTATATAATTTTATATGTTTGGAAGTTTCATTTGTGAGGGTAGATACTATAATAACGGGTGTTTCAGAGATTGTGGTATAGTGTATTAGGGTTTAAATCTCATAAAACTCTTATTTCAATAATATAATGAAGCTTCGATCCCCCCCCCCCCCCCCCCATATATAATATATGCGAATATAGAAATATCAAAAATATAATTCAATATTTCATATTATAATTTATAATATATAATTCAATATGCATATATATATATATGTTAATTATATAAATAATAATATCTTACATATACATTAACACACTTTTATGTAAATATTTTAAATAACTTGTATAAAATATCTAAAAAGCAATGGCTAATTAATCGCTGTGTACTTTTGAGCAGACAGAAAAGGAGAAATATTTCGAAAGCTCTCCTCATTATAGAAATAATAATAAATCGCACACACACAAAACCCCCGGTCTTATACAGATTCACCATAGAAAGAAAGGAATCATAGGAGCATCTGTACTTCAGGCAGCGCAGCACCCAACAACAGCCTCCAGGTCCGACGCATGTCCAGTAGCCAATAAAAATAAATAATATTAAACGTCACTTCATTTTTACTATCATATAAATGAACTCTCTAAATTTGGATCAATTTTATTACAAAGTATAAACGGCCACTTCTCTCTGTCCAAATAGAGATGGCACACAGAGTTTGCGTCCAATTTGACCGGAGGATACAGCTGACCGTTTGTATCGATCCCTATCCTCCCGGCATACAAACTTCCCATCGATATATTCTACCATAGAATTGGACTAGCCACTATTTGCTAACTACACACTTCTTGGGGAAATAATTCTGAAAATTCATGCTATCATTCCGGAAACATGATCTCCGTGTGGGTGTTATGCATGTGTAAATATGGTATTCAAAATTCGAAACTATTTTAAACGCGTAATATTCATTTTGAAATTAAACAATTTCTACGGCCCTTACTGCAATGGAATAATTAATGGGAGGGCCTGGCTCATCAGTGGTGAACCCTCCCAGCGGTTTCGCCAGTTTAATCTACCATACCGCTGTTATATTGCATTCTTGGAATTTATTTAGTTTTTCCATTACAGTAAGGGCAGTATAAATTGTTTAATTTCAAAAAGAATCTTACGCGTTTAAAATAGTTTCAAATTTTGATAACAGATGGCGCGCTAGTGAATCATATTATAAGTATGGTATTGTTGCTTTGTAATTGAATCTAATTATTTTCAAAGACTGTCTAGAAAGGGGGCATTTGTTTCTGTTTTGACGGGATAGGTAACTACAGTCGAACTTGGATAATTCGAACCCCAAGGGACCATAAAAAAATTCTAATTATCCAAAAATTCGAATTAAAAACGGAAATTATATATATAGGAAATTCTAGGGACCAAGATAAATATTCGAATTAAAGAGGTTTTCGAATTAAAGAAGTTCGAATTATCCAAGTTCTACTGTATTTATAAATTTAATTGGCATATAAAAATTGCCATCGATAAAATTTGTAACAATTATATATATAATTATATAATTATATATTTTCACCCTTTCATACTTCATCCAAAAAAGTTAGAAATAGTAAATATTTCTCTTTGAAATAAATATTGTTTTTTCACAGAAAAGAAACTTATGCGGCGAAACTTTAAGTGTTGTTTTATAATCATACGCCGCAGTCCTTTATAATGTATTATAAGTTACTTTAAGTATTATTTACGAACGGAAAAATACGTCCAGGGTAGCCTAGTGGACATGGCATCTGCCCGGTAAGCGGAACATTGTGGGTTCGATTCCCGCCCCTGGACACTTTTATTTTTCCGTTCGCCATTACTCTTCATATTTTCACCCTTTCATACTTCATCCAAAAAAGTTAGAAATAGTAAATATTTCTCTTTGAAATAAATATTGATTTTTCACAGAAAAGAAACTTATGCGGTGAAACTTTAAGTGTTGTTTTATAATTGTTTAATAACTTTTATCATTGTAATAAGGTCTGTAGAGATAATATTTGATGTAATTATTGAAAAGATGACTATTTCTTTTAATAGATTCTAATACCCAAGATGTTGTATTGATATATTTTATCAATATATATGTGTCATTTTCGAAATGAGACCTTGGTGACAATAATTACCATCGTGTTCTAACTAATTGTCCAATATATTATTGCACCAGATTGTGGTCTGGCTGGTTCCTCAACCTTTATTGTCTCATCCGACACGTACTGTAACTTTCCGGACCGTGTTTCAAACATCCTACAAGCTTATATAAGTCAATAATAATGTGAAAATTATAAACTATTTTAGACGCGTAAGATTCTTTTTGAAATTAAACAATTTCTACTGTCCTTACTGCGATGGAAAAATTAAAGGGAGGGCCTGGCTCATCAGTGGTGAACCCTCCCAGTGGTTTCGCCAGTTTAATATACCATACCGCTGTTATGTTGTATTTTTCGATCTTCCTTTTATACTGATACTGTTGCTAGACTCTTGGAATGGGTATTTAAGATGAACTATGGACATAAGCTTTGAGGACAGCAGAATTACATACATTTATAAATATTTAATATGCATCGAGCAATCGCTCTTCCACAAATTTCAAATTGCGTCTTTTATTAGAACATTTATATTACAATGCACTAGTACGATGCACTAGTACGATGCGCTAGTACGATGCAATAATAATGTAACTATATTTTAGGTAGCATTAAGAATATTTTATTTATCACATCAAAGTTTAATAGAGTTGTGTAGTCACAGTGGTTTAGAATACAAATAATGATCTTATAGAATATAATAGCCCTTTTATGCATAATCTCTCTCTTTCTGCTGATAAATCAAGAAAAGCCATCCACGAACGCGTTTCGCGCTGTTGGCGCTCGTCAGCGTGGAATAGGCTGTACCACTGCGACCAAAAATATTTTTGGTCCCAGAGGCTTCTTGAAAAACCAAGAAATGGGTATTTAATAAATATTTTTGTTAGAATTTAGAATTAATGAAAAATATTAGAAATTATTCATAAAAATAAGCCTATTAACCATGATGAGACAATATCTCCCTTTGATTGAAGTGTTGATTTGATGTTTCTCTTGTCAACATAAATCGACGATGTTATTTTAAACACGATGTAACTAAACTTATAACAATTATTTTCTTTTTTTCGATAATACTGAGCGAGATTTCAAGCTAAAAGGTTTTTCTTCACGGCCCTAAAAGTCATTTGGCCTGAAAGTTCATCTAGTTTATCGAGAAAAAGAAACATTTCCCGCGTGTTTCTTTGCTGTTCTCATATCACGTAACAGCAACTTAGATCCGCAAACACCAAGCCGACTACTGACTCTACGATGTGGAACCCAACAATGGTGACAAGAGACCTTCTGGCCAAGGAGCCTGTAGGGTCTGGATGGAACACATAAGTACATTCTGCAACATTAAACTTTATGACACCTACGTTGATGTGAAAAGTTAAGGGGGAACAACATAATAAAATGACTATTTAAAAATATATCTAAAAAGAAAAAGGTCGCCTCTCCCATCAAAATAGACGTCAAAACTAGACGCCATCTGACGGGAGAGGTGACCTTCGTATTCTTAGATCAATATCCACCCGGCAAAATTTCTATCTAAATTTAAAAATATATACAGAAAGTTATCACACACACAAAGAAAATTTGCATAGATATTATATATTGAGTTAATAATACTGAAACACGCGAAATAAAGAAAATCGACCATTTATTTTATCTTTAACTAGACGAATGGCCCGGGCAACGCCCGGGTTTTACCCGAGTGCGAATATATTTTAAAAACGTTGTCTTGGGTGGTCGCTATAGACAGGGTGGTCTGTATAGACAGGTGTATGTATCACACAGCTGATAACAGGGTTGTCTAGAGTGGCCGCTATAGACAGGATGGTCTGTATAGACAGGGTGGTCTGTATAGACAGGTGTATGTATCACACTGCTGATAACAGGGTTGCCTAAAGTGACCGCTATAGACAGGTGTATGTAACACACTGCTGATAACAGGGTTGCCTAAAGTGACCGCTATAGACAGGTGTATGTAACACACTGATGATAACAGGGTTGCCTAAAGTGATCGCTATAGACAGGTTGGCCTGTATAGACAGGTGGATGTATCACACAGCTGATAACAGGGTTGTCTAGAGTGGCCGCTATAGACAGGTGTATGTATCACACAGCTGATAACAGGGTTATCTAGAATGGCCGCTATATACAGGGTGGTCTGTAAAGACAGGTGGATGTATCACACAGCTGATAACAGGGTTGTCTAGAGTGGTCGCTATAGGCAGGGTGGTCAGTGGTCGCTATAGACAGGGTGGTCTGTATAGACAGGTGGATGTAACACACTGCTGATAACAGGGTTGTCTAGAATGGCCGCTATAGACAGGTGTATGTATCACACAGCTGATAACAGGGTTGTCTAGAGGGGGGCAGGGAGGACACGTGTTCGCCGGCAGCCAATGGGCGCGCATTCTATCCGTGAGCTTCAGACAGAATAAGGCAATTATATATATAGATGATTGTGTTTGTACAATCATGTATCGTTTAGACGCGCAATAAAAAGACAATAAAAAAAACGTGTATTTTTTCCTATTTCAATAAAACCTTTGCACATTAATATATTTACCCTAACTAAATATATATATAATGCAATATAATGCGGCTTATATAATTGTAGAACGAAGTTTGACAATTATACTGCAAATGTTTCTTTTGAACGAAAAATCGAAATTTATTTTAGGGGGAAATAACGATTATTTCTAACCTTAGGGATGAAGTATGAAAGGATGAATTGTGAAGAGTAATTATGAATGGAAATATATATATATATCCTTATTAGAGGTCCAAATCGGCACTTTTATCAACTATGTTTTGACCTTTCTAATCCATCAACTGGTATTTCAAAGCAGAAGAAATTGTGAAAGAGCGTGTATCCAAGAGTCGCTTCAAATACAAACTTAGTTTCCCGTGTAACCTCACACAAAGAGACAGGTTAGGAGGACACAGGGTATATTTAGTCGGTGTCACACTTTGTCGAAGGTCTAATCCAACGACCTCGGAATTACAGAACGTATTTCTAGAGGTCCATCACGGGGGGTCCTGATGGCTGTATGACGTGACACGCGGGAGATCAATCGGACTCGGAGGACCTCCAAGGCCACGGTACAGTCCTGTATGTGGGGATTACACAATGGCAGCTGTAATACTGACGTGCGCAGAGACATACACTTGAATAGAAGAGGTAATAGAGGGGAAAATAGGAGCAAAATTGAACTAATATATTGTTTTGAAAATAGAAAATAAAGGTCGCTTCACCTATCAAAATACTCGTAGACTCTAAAACAAACCGCCATCTATTGACCCTCTCTACTGGCCTCAGGTCGGTGACAAAGCCGCGACAACAGATTCGGAAAACTTGAGCAACACCTTTTTTATAGATTGTGAAGATTTCATCTGATCCCTTGTGGATCTCATTACATAAAGTCTGCCCTGAACTGAAGAGGGCCATTAGCCCGAAACCACGGTCTCCATATGAACGCTTTTCAGTTTGCCAAAGCTGGTGTTATGACTTATCAACAACAACAACAACAACAACAAAACAACTTTATTAGGGCGTCTTGCCCTGTACAGATTCGCCGTGGAATTACAGACAATATTCAACACAAGAGAAAAGGGAGAGATAGAGTATTTACAATTAAGGTATGGTAAACAGGGTGACTTTTTTATTGTGCCCCTGTTCTTCTCTCTTCCACGAGTGCAATTTTATTTACAACCGCTTTTTGATAGTTGAACAGTTCTATTGCCCAACTTTTCTTATCTGAAACAGTTTTTATTATCTTTATTGAGTTCAAATGCGGTCTAGGAAGACTTTTCAGGATCTTTTTTCTCTCTCCTTCCAGATCCCCGCACTCAGCAGTAAAATGGTATATTTCATCGGTTATCTGACTTCCGCATAACCTACAGTACAAATCTTCTTTCTTAATTACGTAGATATGATTTTCTTTGATCAATGTTGATATTAATCTGATCTGTGCAATAAAACTCACTAAAGCTGAGGACAGATTGCATGAAAAATAATGTTCTGGAATGAATGAATCATAAAGTAACCTATAGTTTGAGTATGTTTTCGTAAGAGATAATTTTGCCAGATCTTGCTGCAATAGCTGTTCAATTTTTATTTTTAGTATATTCGGAAGTTCGATCTGTATGTCATCATAATTTAACCTAAAGTTTAGCCGTGTGAGTCCACAATGATTGATGATATCCATGATATTTTTACAGAATCCTATAGGTTTTTTTGTCATTAAGGAAATTTCCTTTAATCTATTCCAGCAAAGCTTTGGTAGTCTATTGTCTTCCATTTTTTGTAATCTAATGAAATATTTCATAATTAATTTGATCGTTGTAAAAGTCAGAGATATTCTGCCTGTTTCCAACCTTACAATATACCCTGGTATATATCTTGGTAGATTCAGAAAGTTTTTGATAAGCGTATTCTGTATTTGGTCTATAATATCAGTATTGTTATGACTTATCACCGACCTGTCCGCTAGTTTGCGGAGACGATCAATAGATGGCGTAAATTTTAACGTCAATTTTGACGGGAGAGACGATCTTTTATTTTTATAAATAAATTCTTTCCCAGCAAAATTTACATCTAGAAAATAAATCAGTATTGTAAAAAAGGGGTTATATCTTTCGTGAAAAACTGTCTGTTTAAAATGTGAAATAAAATAGAGGCGCACAGTCCTGAGAAATACAAGCATACTGAGGAAGAGATCC